AGAACCGTATGGTATACAGTATTGGGTTCTTTATATTCTGTATTGGGCTAGGCCCATCTGATGTATTCTTGTGTACTATATATATGGTACTAAGAGATGTAATCTGTAATCTGAACAAAAAGAATCCTAGCAGCTAATAAACTCAGTTCTTCTTTCTGCCCGTGGAGGTAACCAAATTGGTGAACCACGTAAAATCTGAATCTCCTTTACGTTTCCTGTTTCTTCATTACTCTAGAATTCTACTCTGCTACAACAAATTGGTATCAGAGCCTGGTTTTTTCGATCAGGTTTCACGAGTAAATAAAAGATGTCTGCTTTCAACGTTAAGGTTGACAAATTCACTGGAAGAAATAGCTTCGGCCTATGGCAGATTAAGATACGATCATTGCTGAAGCAGCAGGGTTTATGGGCCCCGCTATCTGAAAAACCGAGAGGCAAAGAAGTAGACGATGCAGAGTGGAATACCGCAGAAGAGAAAGCTCACTCGACAATCATGCTATGTCTGTCCGATGATGTTATCATCGAAGTTGCTGATCAGGAAACGGCTGTCAAACTCTGGAAGAAGTTGGAGAGTTTGTATATGACAAAATCCCTAACCAATAAGTTGCTTCTGAAGCAACGCCTATTCAGGCTGCGTATGCAGGAAGGTACCTCCCTCCGGGATCATCTAGATAAGTTGAATAAAATCCTCCTTGATCTGCGAAATATCGATGTCAAAATAGATGATGAGGATGCTGCTTTAATTTTGTTGGTTTCTTTACCTGAATCATACGAGAATTTTGTTGAATCTTTCATTACTGGGAAAGATAATCTGTCTCTAGAAGATGTTCGATCTGCCCTCCACAGTAGAGAAGATCGTCAACAGGCATCTGGCTCGACTTCCGAGAGTCAAGCATCGGGGTTATTTGTCACAGGTAAAGGACAGAAGAAATTTGGAAAGAAGAAGGTGAACTACAAAGGCTCAAAAGGTCCTAAACCCGAAGACATCTGCAATTATTGTAAAGAACAAGGGCATTGGAAAACAGATTGTCCTAAGAAAAAGAGGAAGCAGGAGAAGAAAGAAGGTATTGGTGGTTCTGCCGCTGTGGCAGAAACCGATACAAACTCTGAAAAAGATCTGGCTTTGGTTGCAGATGAACAGTCACATTGTAATAATGTGTGGGTTCTAGATTCCGGGGCATCATACCATATTTGTCCAAACAGAAAGTTTTTTTCGACGTATGAGCAGATAGATGGGGGAAATGTTTCCATGGCAAACAGTGATGTCTGCAAAGTGGTGGGAATTGGGTCAATCAAGATACGGACACATGATGGAGTATTCTGCACCTTGAATGAAGTCAGACACGTTCCACAGATGACGAAGAATCTGATATCTTTGAGTCTTCTCGACAGCAAGGGTCTCAGTTTCAAAGGTGAAGGTGGAGTTATGTATGTCTGTCAAGGTTCAAAGGTGGTTCTGACAGGCCTGAAACGTGGTACTTTGTATATCCTGCGAGGTTCTACTGTGACAGTTTCTGCTAATGTTGCATCATCTGAGATTCAAACCAAGGATATGACCAGGCTATGGCACATGAGGCTTGGTCATATGGGGGAAAGAGGGATGCAAATTTTGTCAAAACGTGATTTTCTTTTTGGACATAAAGTGCAGGATCTTGAATTCTGCGAGCATTGTGTCTTTGGGAAGCTCCACCGCAGCAAATTCCCAAAGAAGGGTGTTCACCGGACCAAGGGAACTCTTGACTACATTCATATGGATTGTTGGGGTCCCTCACGTGTGGAATCTATTGGAGGTCATAGTTATTTTGTGTCTATGATTGATGACTACTCAAGGATGACTTGGGTGACTATGATGAAGCACAAAAGTGAAGCTTTCAAGAGGTTCAAGCAATGGAAGGCATTAGTAGAAAATCAGACTGGGAAGAAGATCAAGCGATTGAGAACAGACAATGGTCTTGAGTTCTGTTCGTCTGAGTTCAATGAGTTCTGCAAGGATGAAGGGATTGCTCGTCACCACACCATCAGATTTACTCCGCAGCAGAATGGTGTGGCAGAACGCATGAATCAGACACTGTTGGAGAGAGCGAGATGCATGCTCTCGAATGCTGGCTTAGCTAGAAGGTTCTGGGCAGAAGCAGTAAACACGGCGTGCCATCTGATTAACCGTGGACCTCACACTGGCATTGAATGCAAGACACCTTATGAGGTTTGGTCTAATAAACCTGCAGATTACTCTCTGTTGAAAGTTTTTGGTTGTACTGTTTACTATCATGTGAGTGAGGGTAAATTAGAACCAAGAGCTAAGAAGGGCATATTTGTTGGTTTCGGGGATGGAATCAAGGGATATAGAATCTGGTCTCCTTCAGAGAATAGAGTTATACTCAGCAGGAATGTGATCTTTGATGAGAATTCTATGCTTAATCCCGTTGTGAAGTCCGTTGGTGAAGAACATTGTAGTACTGTTGATAAACAGGTGGAGCTGCAAGTGACTCTCGATGAGAGTAAATCACAACTCCAAGGTGGAGAAGATCAACATACTACTGCAGATGTTTTAGATTCTCGCCAGACAAGTATAGCTGTTGATAGAGCTAGGAGAACTGGCGTGAAGCCTCCTTTGAGGTACAGATTTGAGGACATGGTGACCTATGCTTTGCAGGTCGCTGATGAAGTGGAAGAGGATGAACCATCTGCAAGTGAACCATCCACATATAAAGAAGCTGTTTCAGGTAGTGAGTCAGCCCAATGGCTAGCTGCAATGGGAGAAGAGATGGAATCACTTGCCAAGAATCTGACTTGGGAGCTGATCAAACGGTCAAAGGAGAGGAAGATTGTTACTTGCAAATGGATTTTCAAGAAGAAGGAAGGAACCACATCTGATGAGGGTGTCAGATACAAAGCAAGGCTAGTTGCGAGAGGGTTCACACAGCGAGAGGGGATTGACTACAGTGAGATTTTCTCACCAGTGGTCAGACATACTTCTATTAGAGTGCTATTAGCAATGGTTGCACATCAGAATTTAGAGCTTGAGCAGCTGGACGTGAAGACAGCTTTTCTACATGGAATACTGGAAGATGATATCTACATGGCTCAGCCAGAAGGGTTCCATGTTCCGGGAAAAGAAGACTACATTTGCAAACTGAAGAAGTCATTATATGGACTAAAGCAGTCTCCAAGGCAGTGGTATAAGAAGTTTGATAATTATATGATTCAGTTGGGATACAACAGGAGTCCGTATGATTGTTGTGTGTATCACAACAAAGGTGATGATGGTTCAATAATCTATCTTATTTTGTATGTGGATGATATGCTTATAGCTGCGAAGTATAAGTCTAATATTCAGAAATTGAAAGATCTACTCAGTGCTGAATTTGATATGAAGGATTTAGGTGCTGCAAAGAAAATTTTGGGCATGGAGATTTATAGGGAGAGAGAACATAAGAAGCTTTTCTTGTCACAGAAGAGCTACATCCAGAAAATTTTATCTAGATTTGGTATGTCTACAGCTAAGCCTATTGATACTCCAAATGCTGCAAATATTCATTTGTCCGCTGTTTATGCACCAAAGTCTGTTGCTGAGCAGGAGTATATGTCTCGAGTCCCATATTCAAATGCAGTGGGAAGTTTGATGTATGCTATGGTTTGTACCAGACCAGATCTTGCACATGCTGTTAGTGTTGTTAGCAGGTTCATGGGACAGCCGGGAAAGGAGCATTGGCAGGCTGTGAAGAGGATATTTCGCTATCTCAGAGGTACGTCTGATGTTGGTCTCATTTATGGAGGTGATACTCACTGTTCTGTGACTGGTTATTCTGATTCTGATTATGCTGGTGACGTTGATACTAGAAGATCAATGACCGGTTATGTATTCACTCTTGGTGGTTCTGTTGTTAGTTGGAAGGCAACTTTGCAGACTACAGTTACTCTGTCTACAACCGAAGCAGAGTACATGGCATTGACAGAAGCTGCTAAGGAGGGAATTTGGTTGAAAGGGCTTGTTAGTGATCTTGGTTTATATCATGATCAAGCTATTGTGTATTGTGATAGTCTGAGTGCAATTTGTTTGGCCAAGGATCAAGTACATCATGAGAGGACCAAACATATTGATGTAAGATATCATTTTCTGAGAAATGAGAAGAGAATTAAAGTGATGAAAGTTGGTACTGCTGATAATCCTGCTGACATGTTCACCAAGCCGGTTCCACATAGCAAGTTTCGCCATTGTTTGGACTTGCTAAATGTCACAAGCTGTTAGTTGTCCAAGGTGGGCAAATCTGAGGCAGAAAGGAGGAGTCTGTTCATCTGGCATTGTAATGATGCACCAGCAAGGACGATTCAAGTCAAGGTGGAGATTTGATAAAATGCCTTGAATTAAGCTCCCATTTGCAGAACCGTATGGTATACAGTATTGGGTTCTTTATATTCTGTATTGGGCTAGGCCCATCTGATGTATTCTTGTGTACTATATATATGGTACTAAGAGATGTAATCTGTAATCTGAACAAAAAGAATCCTAGCAGCTAATAAACTCAGTTCTTCTTTCTGCCCGTGGAGGTAACCAAATTGGTGAACCACGTAAAATCTGAATCTCCTTTACGTTTCCTGTTTCTTCATTACTCTAGAATTCTACTCTGCTACAACAGAAGGCTTGATAAAAAAGTTACTCCGTATATAGGTTTGTGTTAAATGATGTGGAGTGTCCATAATTGTAGGTTAGGCTGGCTAGTTTTTAGGAGACTTTGATCCTTAGATAACCTATTCATAACCCTACACTAGATCTCTGATCAGATAAAAGTGACACAAAGAGCATTAGCTGAGCTTTCTTTTGAAATTAGGTTCATAGATGAACATAGCTTTCACTTTATGTGTACTGGTCAATTTCTTTAGTACTATGAATTCCGTGAGTGTCTTCAAATCCTTTTGCAGTTCTTGGTTTTCAAGGATACAAATGAATGTTCTTTTTGATCCTTGGATCTGTTTAAATCTGAAACTGAAATAAGTCCAAATAAATATTTATGCTTTTGGAAAATCATTTAATCTCTTTAAAAGTGGACATTCAAACAAACACCTAGATAAGTACAATGGAGGTGTAGTATGTATGTGTGCATTTCATTTGTACAGAATTGCTGTAAAAGACCATAAGAATCATGGAAGAAGAAATAGCATGGGCGGGTACTCTTTGCCCGCCCAATTCGTTGGTGTTCAAAACGTTGAGCAGTAAGAAGAAACTGATTTGTTATTCATTGATTGTTGGGTTGATGATCTCTTTGAACTGTTTTCAGCTGCAGAGGAGTCCTGATGTGTACTCTTTCCACAATTCTTCATTCTTTTGCAGGATTTCATGTGTGAGTATAGTTTCTCCGGGTTGAATGGCTTCCCACATTGCCTGCCCTCCAAGAAACAAATCCCCATATCGGGCAGGTTATGATGAGTTGTGCTACTGACTACTCAGATTCTGTGTTCTATAATAATCAGGTTTCATTTCAGAATATGCATGTCCAAAGTGGCCCATAAGCTAGATGTTAAAATATGACTTTGAAACTCAAAGCTAGTATATAGTCAATAAAACTAGAATCAAATGCATCCATTTTAATTAGTTGATACTAGTATTTGCAAGTTGCTTGATCTGAAATAGATGTTTTCATTGTACTACGCATTTAGTAGTAGTCTCAACTCTCTAGTCCTTAATTAACACCTATCTTGTATCAATCTGTTAGCACATGTTCTAATTTTTGCGTTATACTACGTATCATATTCTAATTTTTTCCATCATTTTTAATGGAGTCAAAGAATCACTATTTTTTTGGCTTAGGAATATGATGGAATAAAACAAAATGACTCACTAAACTGTCTGTGCTTCTTTATTATGAAGCAGTAGTCAGTGCATGCAATTTTCAACGCGAATTTCATTATGGGTCATCCAAAAACAGTCTCTTGACCCTTTAGTACAAGGGTAAGACTGCGTACATCCGATCTCCCTTATCCCATTGTAGATGGGAGCCTTTGCGGCACTGGGGTTATGATGATGATGATCATATTCACTACGTACCTAGCTGATCCCAAAATATTTTCAGAATAAGGTTTGGATGTTGTATTATAAAAACTACTTCTATCCTAAAATGTCAGACATGTTCATGTTTGGTACTGACTTTTGCACGGCTCCATGTTATATGATTTTGACAAAAGGCTTTGGAACAAATTTGATCATGAAATTTGAACAAATTCAAATATCACTGTTTAGTGTCTCAAAATGGGTTTTCCTCAAAATAACACTAAAGTGAAGTTCAAGATACATTTGTCATTATTTCAGGGCATATACTTGCCAAAACTATATTTTTAGTAGTGAAATAAAGAAGATAATTATGAAATACTAAAGGTTTAGGAGTATTTTATCACCGTAACCGAAAACAAAAAGAAAAAGTTTTAGGAGTCTATAAAAAGTGAATGAAGGGTAATAGACAAATTGACAAGGGTAAAATGAATATGATAAAAAATGAAGAACTTCTTGAACAGACAAAAAGAAAGTTCTAGTATTTTCCAAGTCAGAATACTAATTTGACTTACGAGCACTTAGGAGCTCTGTAAGCGCCGGAAAACGGCCTCCGGCCATTGCTATGCAAATGCAACCCCTCGCTGGTTTTCCTGAAACAAGTATAAGTAAAAGTTGAAATTCTGTACTATCACAAAATGAGAAAATTAACGAGAAAATTGTCAAAATGGTACATTGAATTGTTTCAAGTGGAGTAAGTAGTATTTCATCTAACACTTTAAATTACAAAGTACATGAACTTGTATTTTTAAAGTCGATTAAGTACATTTACTCCGTTAAAACGTTAAAATAGATGACTTGACCAGACTATCAGTTTGTAATATATCGTCGCAGTCCAAGTCATCAAATAACTAATCTGTAAAATTTCCTCGTTTCCACCTTCGCTCTTCATTTTATATTATTTTTCACATTTGCTCTCCCTTCTGTCGCTCTTCATCTTATATTTCTCTCGTCTATTCTCCAAGGGCAGAGCCAGGGCACTGGGCCGGACTAGAGTAGCACAAAGTTTTTTTTGGGAAAAAATTACACAACATTTTTACCTTAAAATTAAAACATTTTTAAAATTTGAGGTGGGTCAGGACATAGGTTGCCCCCCTCTAGTCCCGCGTGTGCCGCTCTCCTTCTCTTTCGTCTTCTCTCCCTGCTATTCGGCCGACTTCTTCTTTTATTTGCTATCGGCCCATCTTTATTATAACAAGAGAAGAAGAAAATAAAATAGAGCAAAAAGAAGAAGCTGACAGGATTGCAAGGAGAGTAGACGAGATAAATATAAGATGTAGAGTGGAGAGAAGGGAAAGCAGACGAGAAAAATATAAGATGAAGAACAAAGGTGAAAATGAGTGGAGCGGAAGAAAATAGGGTTTATAGGTTAATTATTTGTTGGCTTAGACTACAACTGCATACTACAGACGGATAGTTTGGTCATGTCAGCTATTTTAACGTTTTGAAGACTATAAAAATACAAGTTCATGTACTTTAAAAATTTCAAATGCAAGATGAAATACTACCTACTCCCGTCGAAACTAGGCCTGGACTCGGGCCGAGTGGCCCGACCTGGAACCGGCCCGAACCGGCACTGTTCCGGCAATCCGGCCCGGTGGCCCGGTCAGTGACCGATCCGGGTAGGCCCGACCCGCGTGGGTTTCGGTCCGGGCTCGGGCCCCCAAATCATGAACCGGCCCGGCCGGTTCAGGCACAGTTCCGGGCCTTTTTAATTTTTTTTTTCAATTTTTTTTTTACTTTTCGGGTTGGGCTGGGTATTTTGGGCCATTTGGGGTGGTTTTTTTTTTTGGGGGGGGGGGGGGGGTTGGGGTTAACTAGGGAAAGGAGCAAAAAAAAATTAACAATGGCCCGAGGTCCGGCCTGGAACCGGGGATTACCCGGGCCGGTTCCTGGCCCCACATTCCACAACCGCCGGCCCGGCCGAGCCTAGGCCCAAACCGGCCCGAGTGCAGGCCTGGTCGAAACAACTTTATGTACCATTTTGACAATTTTCTCATTCATTAACTCTAGTATGCCTTGATAATTCATTTATGTGTAAAAGTATTTACCATATGAAAATGATGTGAAAATTTTTTCCCTTAGAAATAATATCTAGAATTTATAAGTTTTGTAAAAATATACGTTCAGATCTGAATTAAATAAAACCATTGACTAGAAAACTAAAGTCATCATCTTTAAAAGGAGGGAAGTAGTACAAAACCTGGGTTGACTATGGCGTGCCTTGCAAGTCCTCTGAGACCCACCGTCGAGCTTCGCCGGTTTATAACAAATCTCCGTGGAGATGGTCGTTTTTCCCTTAAGATCAGACGACGATGGAGCGCCAAAGTACGGCTGACGGCGCACGACGGCGGAGTCCTTGGTGTCGACGTTGCCGCAGGTGATGATACTCCGGAAAATGCCCGATTGTTGCGGGACTGCCCCCTTTTCCCGGCCGTGTTCTCTGATCTTGTTTTTGGCGAAGAGAGAGCGGAGAGGAGTGGACGGAGACCTTGCGTCAGCGGATTCGTCGCCAGCCATAGTTGAGGTTTCCCGGCGTGGGAGAATGGGAGATGATTCGTCGTCGTCTTCTTCCTCCTCGGTATTGATGATCTCTTCTGAGGCCGTTTTCTTTCCTGATGTGGTCTTATCTATGGGAGCTTGATGGTGATAGCAATGGCAATGACACCGCCATTGATTTGTTTCTTCTTTTGTCAGTTGCAGTTTCGAGTCGTCTTTATTATGGCCTTCGACCTCTAATTCCTTTTGCATGGGCGCACCTTTTTCTATTTCACCACACATATATATATGAATAGATAGTATGTAGTACTAGGTAATATACTCCCTCCATTCCTTTTTAAATGCATCATTGAACTTTTTTCACTATTCACGTGTTCTACTTTGACTCTATTTTATTTATTTATGTATTATAAATTAAATTTCAAAAAATATTGTTAAATTCTTTTCATTTCAAATTTTCAAAATCTATTGTTTTTGAATTTTTTTTTTATTAATAAGGAATGAAAGATATTAATGGTCAAATTTATGCATTGATAAATGTGAAAAGTGGACTGTCGCTTGTGAAAAAGAACGTAAGTAATTGGAAAACACACGTTAATTAATGTGTCATAATACCAATGTAAATTATAGTACTCTACGGAGTATAATTTAGAACGACAATAATCTACTCCTATTTACAATACTATATGTACCAAGTACATAATATGATACTCCGTTTACAAAACCTACCTTCTTCTACATAAATTTTCTTTTTTAAAATTTATTAACATCTACCGACTCAATTTGTATACTAATTTGTGGAGTATTATATTTAATTAACACATTCCAAATTCATTCTCCGCTCTCCGATCCCATTAATTCTTTCTCTATTCCTAATTGTTTTTCTTTCTGCATTTAATTATAGTTGAAAAATATAAGGATGGGATGTCAAAACATAATAATTTCATCAATGACAAATTACAATACAACTTTCAAATCATTATTATGTCATAGTCTAGGGGTAACTTCATGACAAAACCGAGATTTAGTAGTTAATATACTACGTATGAATAACAGCATATGGATTATATTATTACGTCAATTTCTTTCGGTTGCATTGATTTTTGCGAAATACAAAAGATCATATGGATTATATTATTGGATGTATAATACTCCGTATGTTTTATCACATGAAATTCTAGTCAGTTGATTACGGAAATACCAAGGACTTCGTATGTATTAATTGCATTATCACGTAACCGTCATACTATTACCACGAATATTGACTTAGTTCCCAGGGGCGGATCCAGAATTTCATGTAGGGGTGGGCTAAAACACTAAAATGATAATACATTGACAATTTTCAAAATAAACAAAAAATCAAATATAAGAGTTCTCCACTAAAATTGTCCTCGAGGAGGCTTTGAAACAAAACTCAACAACAATAGAGTCTACATCTATACAATATAAAGTGTCCAAGAAAGTCATCCGTCATTTTGTCGCGGAGTGTTGTTTTTAGATGTTTCATGGCAGAAAATGATTGTTATGCTTTGCAGTAGAAACAAAGCGAATCAATCTGCTCATCATAACATATGAATCAGATCTTCTACTCTTAGTCAACTCCTCACATTATTCAACAAGTGTAGATATTCGAAACTTTGTATCAGGAATCACATCATGAACATAGTGTTGCAGCTCGAATTCCAAAGCAAGAATATCCTCACTACTAAAATTTTCGAGATAGAGCTTCAATTCCTTGCAAGAGTACAATTAGCATCGACGTTGAATGACTCATTCGAATTGTTTTAGATCCAATGAAGCACTCAAAAAATGAGTTCTAATGATTTATCATTAAACTGGGTCCTTAACTCCATCAATACAAAGTCTATTGCCTCGTTGAAAACATCAAAGTGATAGTGATGCTCAACTGTAGTTTATTTTCGGCAACGACCAATCATATATTCAGAATTCAGCTCTGGTACATGAATTTTGTGTTTTGAGCAAAACTCTTTTACTTCTTCAAGAAAGTCTTTCCATCCATTTTCTCTCAATTCCCCGAGAATGAGTTGTGTAGTAGAAAATGTCTTATAGCTATCAAGATATCCAATGATTTTTTTGAATCCCTTGATAGAGAATACTCGTTATTCTTATAACTTTGTGCATCAAAAGTAAACTGGACCCAAAATCCAAACATGCAAAGTGTCTATATACACCATGAACTTCTACCAGAGAACTCGCTTTTGGGCAATATTCTTGAAGATACTCAAACAATTTGCAAGTTGTTGTAACATGTCAATCAGGTTTTTAATTGAATCATAATGGGAACTCCAACGCGTTGCTCCAACACTTTGTAAATTACCAATTTGATTGGCTCGACTTCCAGATTCACGCTCTCTTATTGCCAACATACGTTCAACTTCTATTCTTTGAGCACTTTGTAGATCACTAATTCCTGCAATTGCACTAGGTGCCCTCCCCTGGGCCGGGCCGTCCATGATGCGTATAACATTTAGATTAGATGGTAAGATTTTGTTTTACGGGCTAAGCTGAAAATTGGATTGGGCTATAGAAAATTTGGGGTAGGCTGGATGGAAAATTTTAAAAACAATACCTTAAAAAAAATTAATTTTTTTACTTTGTCCTGGGCTTCAGCCCACCATAGCCCTAACATAGATCCTCCCCTGTTAGTTCCATTGTAAGCTTGGGATTGGATCAAAATGTCATAGACGGTCTTTTAAAGAAATATATGTGGAGATATGATCAAATTGATTACTAAAACTTACCAAATTAAAGTAAACATCACATATCTGGCGGTAATTTAATGCGGAAGCTTTCACATTAAAAACATGTTTAACTCATTGAAGCAAAAGAAAAAATGGAACAAAAGGAAGTAATTAATATAAAGTTCTGAAAACAGTTGTTTTTTATTTTTTTATTTTTAACATAAAAATGTACACCCTTAGAAAAACATAAATATGTACACAAGAACAGTTGTGGTTGCTTTAATTCATCTTAAAACTTATACCCGCGCGTTCATGATTTAAAGTGATCTACTTATCTTCTACATTTCCAATTCCCACGTATAACTATTACTCTGTATTAAGGGTGTCAACTTTTCTACATAAATTTAGAATTCTAATCTTACGGTCACCTCTTGTTTTTCTCTTGAGGCTATACCTTTTTTTTTTTAATATACCCCGGGGGTGTCTGGGGAGGTGGATTTGGGGGGCCTGGGGTAAACTGGGATCAATCTCGCTCTATTGAGAATTGAACCCGGGACCTCCCATAAGGGAGAGTGAGTCGGCGATCAGTTGAGCTGAGCCGCTTCCTCTTTATACAGTCACCTCTATAATGAGAAGTTTCAAGTTCTAAGTTTAAAAAATGAAACCCAATTCGTGAGCTTGTTGTTCATGGAGATGTTGAAATCTCTTAGATTTTGACACAGTTATAATTGGTTGACATTTTAATCAAAAATTCACCTGCTCAACGATTTACATCATATCTCTTCATGGCAATATGCAAACAGTTTCTCTTGGGCAGAACTCCAGATTGAGATTGAGGATGTAATAATGTAGTTTATTATTATTAATATTATTTCACACATTGTTAGGTTTTAGCTCATATTGAGATAAAGTTTATTGGTCCAAAAAAACTAGTTCAGGACTAAACTTCTTTAGGTTAAGAGCAAAACTTGATTGAATCCAAAACTAATTAGCCAATTTCAAACATTACTAATTTTAACGTTCCAATTCTATTATTTATTGTATTGTGTGCTTGCATTGTCTTATTTTTTACTCTGTTGTCATTCAACATTTATCTTGTTTTAACGGAAACATACGTTTTTATATATAGTTATTTTAGTTTTTCATTCATCCAAAAGTTTGAATCTCCAACCCAAGAGATATGGAAATGTCAAACGTTAGACAACATGGTACAACTATTAGCCACAACTTATTTTAGTTTTTCAGTTCTTAATTTAGTTGTGTATCCAAATGATTCAATTTCATTCAAGTGATGTATTGAGAGCGAAATGCATAAATGATGCCTTAATTAATGGTATTATTGCATTTGGATACCCTACCCTAACTCCTAAATGAAACACATAAGTACCATAACTAAAGTAAATTTTTCAACAGACAATATGATTCAAATTTATGTTCAAAAGATCATATATGATGACAAGATATCCATGCGTACATTTCATTATACATTACTTTTATCCATGTCATCAATATATGATAAATTTTGTGCATGCAATTCCAACCAACATAATATATTTTACCTTGAAATTTGACCAGTATTAATGGCTGAAATATTTATGTATATATGTGCGGTCATTTAATAGTTAACGTAGTGCAATAATGCCAATAATAATTAAAATGCACTTTAAGCATTTTTTCGGTTTCAACAACTTCTGTCGTGCTTCACACTAATATTTATTCAAACAATAAGTTCGTTAAACAAATATTATATTACCTTTTTTTGAACGAAACCATTAATTAAATTAACTAAACATTACATATATGTATTAATTGATATTTATATACTTGCCTTTGGTAGGTGTGGATGAGGTAATTTCGGATCCTTTGAGGACGTATTCATTGTCCGAAATTGGTGTGAGGAGATCATCGTCCACAACGTCTTGCCATACATATCCTGTCTTGTATTTCCTGCATAGTATGCGTGTACAATATTGTTATATTTAAACCCGGTCATTTCTGATTTCTCAATTATATAAATTAATTAATTCTTTATTTCCTTCTTTAAACAACCGCATATATATATCTTTCGTACTATGTCACTTCCAAATAAAGTTGTTCTGGGATTTAGTTTCGTTTGTGTAAGTTAGTAAACTATGTGGCTTAATTGTAAATACTTCGTAATGTTTAATTTTATAAATATTTTTTCGTCGATATGTAACGCTATTAATTAATCAGAAAATACGTAGAACGTATCTTAATACTAGTAACCAATAAGAAGGGAGCAAATGCTAGCACCAACCTCTTATATGACCAGGCAAATGACGAGGGCAATTCTTTTCCTCTCAATTCCCCTAACCATCTCTTCACGTCTATATATATATATTTCCATAATAACATAACAATAATTTAGTAATAGTTATAACGTGTTAACAATAGAAAGATTCGGCCTTATGAAACAAAAATATGATAGAATATTTGAATGCCCTCAAAATAATAATTTTCACTTTTGATCCTATAAATATCACTTTATAACTGTGGAAGTTTAATTTGTCTAGTTTTGTTATTTTGGTGAGATTTGATATGTTTAAGACTTACTCTGTATTTGGGAATTGGGACTAATTAATAAAGCCATTACATAAGTAGTTGTACTCGGAACATAATAATAACAAAAACTTGAATTTAATTTTATGAAAAACTATATACGCAGTATATGACTTGTGATTGGTTCTTAGTTTTAGCGTAATAAAATCTCATAGGAAACCATATCTTTTGTGTTTCAAATTATTATTATTACTAGCTTTCAAGCCCGTGCGATGCACAGGTAGTACATAATTTAGCTAACTGTATATTTGATATTTTCGAAATCATATATAATTAATAAAAGTAATTCAAATATATATGAAAAATATTTAAATTGGACTTCTACATAAGCATCTCAACAAAACATAATGGTTATGAACCCGGTTTTAAAGAATTCATACAAAAGTTTCTTCATTAATTTCACATCATCTATATTACTTCATTAAGCATCTAAAAAATTAGGAAAAATTGAAAATAATAATCCCAACTATTGCCGGTCCGCTAATAATAATCCAACTATTGATTATTTTTGTATAATCCCAACTATATGGACCATCCGCCAATAATGGTCCATGACCAAATATGACCTCCTATAAAAGTGAATTTTAAATAGAAATTAAGCGTAAAAATTAAAAGTTGAGATTATTTATAGAGATTACTTGTTATATCTCTTTTCATCCACTTCAAAAAGTACATGAATTTATTTACAGGGACTGTTATTGGCGGAAGGACCCTAAAGTTGGGATTATTCTAAAATAATCGATAGTTGGGATTATTATAAGCGGACCGCCAATAGTTGGGATTATTACAATCAATTTTTCCAAAAAACTATTTTCAAATATTTCTCATTCAACATGTGGTATGAAATAAGTATTTGTAAATTTATTAGTGAGCTCTTACATTGTACTCATTATTTTGTCACATTGAAATGTAAAAAAAGGATCATTTTTACAATTACTCATTTATTTAGTCACATTGAAAATGCCATTAATAAGGATATTTTTAATTAGATTGATATGTTCATTTCTAACTTAGTCTGGAAGATGTCTATTTTATGTATAATAATAATAATAATAATAATAAGAATACTAATAATAATAATAATAGATATTTATTTGATCCGATCTTGTCTAAGACTGAAACCAGTCCAATTAAAAACACCCTAAATGTATGAAGATTTTCTAATTTAGATTAGGAATCTATGTCAAAAGTGAAGGAAAATCTAAATTGTAGTTGTAAAAATAAAGAAACAACTAAACATGTTTACTTTTTTTGCTGGGCTAAACGTATTCATATATGTATGATATGAATATCCATTTCCATCCTCATAAAGGTAAGATACTTGATCAGAAGTTTTAAATGTTTTCATATATGAATGTCTAATAGTATATATCAATTTCATTTTTAAGATAAACAATCGTGTGGTTATAATTTTCATCATTATCTCAATCATTAAGAAAGAATGGTATGATGATGCAGAAAAATACGAAGTATTAACACAATTGCAAATATAAGTCTAATAACTTTAGTCATTATCACATTGAGTTTAGAAAACATTCAAAAAATTGAGTTTAGAAAAATAAAATATTACTCCGTACTTTTTAGGAAATGGAACACTATTATTACTTTATTTATAAAATAACTTTGAAGAACAAAATTGATAGGAACTTGGATGATTTATTTGTTTGGTGCGCAAAACACGGATAATTCACTTCTCAATAGAATGTAATAAAAATAAAAGTATAAAAATAGTTAAACTAAATAAAGTCTATGTGCACGGATGACTATTTATTGTTGTGGTTGCAATAATTGCTTATTTTAATAACAATCCATATTACTACGGAGTAAGTAGTAGATTCTGAAAAAGTTACCAAATAAGGTGAATTTTATCATACACGACGGTCTTTTGTTTCCATATCAATATGTAATAAAAAATAGAATGTAACAAAAAAGGTATAAATAGTAATTAAATAATTGTTATATATGATGACATGGCAGGATTATTGGCACGCCAGATGCTCTTAAAATTCCTCTTATATATATATTTTAATAAATATCCATATTAATACGGAGTAAGTAGTAGATTCTGAAAAAGTTACCAAATAAGGTGGATTCTATCATACGATCTTTTGTTTCCATATCAATATACAATAAAAATAGAATGTAATAAAAACAATAAAATGTATAAATAGTAATTAAATAATTTTAATATATGATGACATGACAAGATTATGTGGCGCGTCGTATGCTCTTAAAAAGTTCCTCTTATATATATATATTGATTTTATAAATTGTACTCCATACTTTTATTCGCAGGGAGATTAATATTTATTTCTAACATAAACACATCAATAATAAATCATGCGTCCTAACCGTAAGATTAATATTGATTTGCAATTTACAATTTGTAAAACAATTTGTGAGGTCAACTAATCATAAAATTAGAACGCTTATCTTAATATTTAAATTAATTTTATTAATCACAATTTACATATTTAGAATCTACTTTCCAAATATTTTATAATTGCAAAAATCACACTAGATCGATAATGAAAAGAAATTCGTACTCAAAATACATAGCAAAACAATCGGAGCTGACCAAAAAAGTACATATAAACACGTGATTAATTGATATTTTCAATTGTTACGAACCTCGGAGGTGGACACCGTGGCGGGAGAGATGGTGGACTCGGAAGAGATGTGGGTGTTCGGTGCGGCCCTTCCGGCTAATAAAATAGATTATGTGAAGTTTCCGGACTTCGGCGGCGGCGGCGGCGGCGGAACGATGAACCTCCTCCATATTTTATTAACCTGAACGTTAATTAATTGTCCTTGAAAACGGACGTGCGATCACCACGGCCTAGACCGGCCGGCAAATTAATAATGTTGTTGATTATTTATAAAACTATATATATATACTGAAGGGAATGAATGAATTAATTTAGAGCTTCCTTGGCTCATCAAAATTTAAATACCTCGCCGTACGTCAATCGAGGTGCATAATTGAATCAAGGAATTATTAGCAATCCGATATGCAGGCCTAATCAGGTTTACGAATATAGTAATTACCTTGCTATATATAGTACGGAGTATAATATATCAAATATTGTATAGAATTACAATTACAATAATTGCTTTGCTATTTTAAAGAATATAGAGTCCTTTTGGGTTTGGAGTACCTTATATTTGACTGTGCCTTGCTTCTTGCAGAAGAGAGAATGAAGAATTGAAGAAGAAGGGTACGTAGTAGGAGAAAACGAAGGTAAGTTGCATCTTAGAATTACGTACGTAGAGACCAATTCCTTATTTATTTTACAATTTACGATTTATTTTTTTATTGTAAAAATATCTCATTTTCATTAATGTAGAGAATCATTCGCCAAAAGGCTCAAAATAATTATAAAAAAGGCTCAAAATACAATTATCACGATAAAGAAACACCCTACCACCCGCGCCTTAGAATGGACGAGTCTAGTTAAAGTACGAGCTACACGATTCATAGATTTTTACATTAAATAATAGATATATGTGCTTTAGAATTGAATGAAGGAAATGCTTAATATCACCAAATATAAGATCAAAACAGGATCTTTCCTCGTCTTCCTGCAATTTCGAAATGATCACTTGAGCATATGTGTCCACTTACATTGCCCGGCCCCAAATATAAATGCCCGGTTATGTCGTGGTCGCGGGCCACCCATGTTCAAGTTCTCTTCCCTCTTCTGACATCCACAACTCAATCAACATTTATTTTCATGATTCCTTCCTCTAGCTTCTTCCACATGGAGCTATCTTCACCTTTACCTGTAATGTTGATCGATTAGGTATACGCTTTGGTCTGCTTGCCACCCTTTCAGCGTTGCTGAGCCAATTAAAATGATTTGATCTTCATTTATCCGTGTGTCATTCCAGACTAGATCATTCATGGCCTTCCACATACTCCACATTGATACTACAAAAGTGCATAACTCCTCAAACAGCACCTCAAAATTCCATGAATCTAACTCGTCAGTGTGTCCCCTTGTCCTTGAATTGCACTTTACTTCCCATTTTTTCCAGATCTCACCTGCATTCATGCAATTATAAAAAAATGTAAAGAATTGTCTTCCTCTAATCTACACTCCCCAGGAATCGTCACCCACCGGCCACCGCCTTCGTAATGTGGCTGCCATTGGGAGAACCTCAGTCATGACCTATAAAAAAATGTTAAATTTTGAGTTGGATAAAAAATCCTACATCCTTGTTCATCCCATCCAATCCGAAGCGACCACTTTTGGGCTGCGGGGATGCGGTGCCAGCAATTCTGCCAGTCTGCCGGTGTAATCGACCGTGACGCATTGCATGTTCTATAAAGGGGGGAAGGGTGTCCTACACTATCAACGATTTCTTTTAGTGTAGTGATAAGCACAATGATCCACATGTGATATCAGAGACAAAGGTCACGAGTTCGAACCTCAGCAACAACATGCTGCTCAGTTGTATGCCGACATGTGCTGGAGGAGATTGTTAGGCCGCAGGGATGCGGTGCTAGCAATTCTACCAGCCTGGTAGTGCAATCGACCATAGCATTTTGCCTGTTCTATAATGGACAGTAAATTTGTTTTTGTCTTTGTCGAAATCCCACACCGGTAAATTAAGAAGGCCTAGCTGGTAGAATTGTCTTTGTCTTTGCCAGTTATTCCAAGGGCTATATATATGGCTTGAATATGGTAAAGTTGTTTTTGTCTTTGTATTAAGATTCTGAGCTACTCTTCTATAAGGTTCACCTTTTAATATGGAATCCCAGATCATAACACGGTACCAGAGCCAAGCCGATCCATAACCATAGTGTGAGCCCCTTATGAAAAATGATGACACGTTTATAAAAAATGACAATGATGAATCGATGAAAACATTGAGTGACAACACGACTCTAAGGAAGTGTCTGGTCGTGAGGAAGAGTGTTGAAGTCCCGCACCGGTAAAGTAACAAGTAATAATAAAGTGTTGTATAAAGATTCTAGGCTCCCCTCCTATAAGGTTGACCTTTTAAGACGGAAACGACCTCAGGTCTTAATAGTCTCAATTTTGTGTATGATGTAAATCTCGTGCACTGAAATGTAACTCGCGTTGCTACGAAATGTAATCTCAGTTAATGGATAATGTAACTCGTGCACTAGAGTGTAACTCCCATTACTCTCTCCAATGGTCATTCTGCCACCTTATGTATATATATACTAGTATATGAAATGTAAATCATGTATATGTAAAATGTAACTTATAATTCAAGCAAGCCAAAATGTAACTCGTGTGTATGCAAAGTGCATGTAATTTACTGAGGCAAGTCGAAATGTAAACATCGTCGATTGAAATGTAACTCAATGTATTATTAAATATAACTCTAAGCATCATGTATAATCTATATGTAACTCGCACATATGAAATGTAACTCGCGCACATGAAGTTGTAAACAGAGTATAAAATGTAACTCCATGTATTTTCAAATTCAACTCCATTCGTCGTGTAAAAATGTAACTCGCACATATGAAAATGTAGACCACACATGTGAAAAATGTAATATCACGTACTATCAAATGTGGATCGTGCATATTTATTTAACTAGCAATAATTTAATCTTCGATAAGCTGAAATGTGAATTAATTTTCTCTTCAATCAAAACTAGAGTACAACAAGGTTAAAGTTTTCATGTCATGCTATTCAGGCCATATATATAGCCCTTGGAATAACTGAATCTTCACAAAATCAATCATCAAAATCATATGAGCTCTCACCCAACGTATAACTATTGACTTTTGTTGCAAGCAATGCATTTTCTGCCAATCCGCCCGTTACACAAAATGTTCCCTCACGATCAACATTTTGAGTTTGATTTTCTTGATGACAAGTATTCTGACTATTATCTTCAAAATCAAATATAGAAGATGATTCTGCCAATCAAATAGACTTTTTTCTAGTACTAATTAGTATAACTATATGCTATTGACTTGTTTGGGTGCAATCGTTTTGACCTAATGCTTTTTCTTTCAGAAAAGAATCAAATTAAGTCATTCCAACCATCTTAGTTGTACCAAACTTGATCTAAAAGTCATTTGGTAGAGCCTAAAATGGAGGAAGGTGATGAATTAATTAAAGTTGTTGAATCTATGGTTGAATTTGCTTAATCTAATGAATTGTCGAAATGAAGTATTGTTAAAAATAATCAAAAGGATAAAACATGAAAAGATGAGGGTACAAGTTTGATTTTTTCATTTCATTTTTAACTGGCTAGAAATGTAACTCATGTGCCACTCTATTCTATTATGATTTGATTCACTTAACACACAAAATAAGTTAGTGTTTTCCAGAAATCTCGCTCACCAATAACAAGTACTAACCTGGTGACAGTAGCTTTCATGTGTGGAGTGGAAGCAAAAGGAAGTTTTGCACAATGATGTCGAGAATGGGGATAGTCTCGACACACGACCGACAATGATGAAGGAAAAGGATTTGATAACAATAATAATAACGATTATAATGATAATAATAATAATAATAAAAATGATAATAATAACAATAACATCAATAGTAGCAATAAAGACTTCTATCATACAAATCCTTAAAAAAGCCATCTAAACAAATGAAATGAGGTGTTTTAACCATAGAATTGTCTTTTTTAATAACCCTAGTCAAAATCTCAGTTCCACAACTCAGCAAGTTACAACACCCTCAGAATTTCAGCTTATCTCAAGCCGGTTTGCAATTTTAAGTAATTTGAAAATTTGAATTTCAACTTAGTATTTTTTGTTGCAAGCAATGCATTTTCTGCCAATCTGCCCGTTACACAAAATGTTCCCTCACGATCAACATTTTGAGTTTGATTTTCTTGATGACAAGTATTCTGACTATTATCTACAGAATCAAATATAGAAGATGATTCATGATGATTAGTAAATACACATCCACTTGCCTTATGAGGCTCTCTAGATGATTCAAACTCCTTGGTTGCATTTGACTTGAAGACTAATCGAGGTTTATTGTTATTGTAAGTCCGTCCAGATCTAGGGTTTATAAAATACCCTGAGCTGTTTACCCCATTTTGATGTGAAGAAGAAGCTGTCTATGGAGTTATTGTCAACGCATGGCTGAAACAATGGTGGGAACTCATTATATGACACATTGTCTGTTGGTCCCTATTTCTACTCTATAATGTATAAGATCTGATTAATAGGAGTAGAAGAAGCTTTCCATTGATAGCCAGAAAGTTTACATAAAGATGAAGAACATGTAGCGTAAAACTTCCGTAGGCTCTATTCTATGCGCAGGGAATTTTTCTAAGGGAGGAAAGCTTAACCTAGCCATTCCCAAGGGGTCTATTTATAGCCTCCTTAGAATGGTAGGGTTTACAATGATATGGGCTCTCCTTTTTAGGAGGCCCATTCCTAATTTAGCTTAGTAGCCTTTTCCATTTAAGGCCTATTAAATACACAATAAATACTACCAAGAGGCTAGATAAAACATTGATCACAATACATGAAAATATCTCTAACAATCTCCTCCTTTGTGATCAGATGTTCTTTGTCAGCTCTTGTGGATCCTTCTGCCTCTTGTAGTAGTTGCTTCGCAGTGCTAGAGCATGTTCATATTGGCGCAACATTCTCCTCTTTTTGAGTCGAGCGTTGATTGCGTCTAGCACCGCCTTCATTCGGTCAAATTCTTTCAATTTCTTCTTTCTTTGGTCTCAACTTCTTTTATCTTATTGGAAAGGCTTCATGAAGAAATCCTTACAATCTCCCCCTTGGTGTTATTTATTCAATTTGTTCTTTGATGCCGGGAGTTGAGGGATTCTTCAAAATCTTGCTTTTAATCCTTGCTTTCCAGAAACTGCTCTTGATCAGCTTGAATGAAGTCATATGGTGCCTTCTAGAATGAATGTTCTGAAGAGATCTAGGTGCACAAGGAATTCATCTTCAATATTTGATCATCCGACCTCTGTATCCTCCAGAATGTAGCCTTTTCTAACTATTCGATCGTGAATGCTTTTGAGGAACAATTGTCGGTAGCACAGCGGAAAACGATGGTTGACTTGTGAGCATAGCTGACCATTAGATCTGAAGCTGACTTGGCAGTTGATGAATCTGAAAGAGTGGAGAGCCGTCATTTTTAGTTGGAGGAGAGAAGTGTCCTGGAATGATTTTTGAGTGTAAACAGCATGTGGACCTCTCTCCCCCTCATGACGATCCCATAAATCGGGATGTCATGCCTTTATTCTTTTATTCATCTGAAAAATGGAAAATGAAAAAATGAAAGGATAAGGATCGGAGACACTGTGGTGTTCCGTTAACACAACATCAATGTAAACACTGATGTGTGGCCTGTATATAATGATAGAAACGTTATAGCTCTAACAGGACTTCCAACCAATCATTGTGAAACATCTGAAGTAGATGTCACTCTGGTTGTTATGGCATGATCACTAGGATCAGCATAGATAATTGTAGCCCCCCCGGGATCATGTAGACACCCGTTATCATCACTATAGAGATGAACTCTAAATGATGGCCTGAAAATGTTGGTGATTTCTATGTTGCAACATCAGGACTTCCATCCAATCATCGGTCTGCATCTATAGAAGATGAGCCTATGGAAGTTCTCGCATGGTCACTTAAAGCTGCAACTGACTCTAAAAATGTGTCTGTGTCCAAGAAAATTCAAAACATTTAGGAGTGAGATAACTAGACAC